GATAAGTGCTTTCCTAAAAGAATAAGAAGACATCATGCAGCTTAATGGGGAAGGAAGATCTGGAAACAAGTAATTAAGTATACTGAGGGCTATAATCAGATAAATGGAAAGTGCTATGTGACATGAAAAAGAGATCCAAACCCCAATACAGAAGTCATGGAAGGCTCCATGAAAAGGTATCATTAGACTTGGGTTATGAATGACTAGAAGGAAGTGGAGAGGCAGGGAAAGGGCTTTCTGGCATAATAAAACAACATCATGAAGGCACTGAGACATTGCAGTGCAGAATGGGCACTCCATGTCTCTGAACAGCAAGCTGTGTGAGTGCAAATAAAAGATGAAACCAGAAAAGTAGAAGAGGACAGGTTCCTGAGGTCTTATTTACCATGCTAAGAAGTATAGAGTTATTGTGGGATGAAGTGGAAAGCCAATGGAAATTTTACATAAGGGGAACAATAAAATGAGACTGGATTGCTGAGGGCCTAGGCAGAGGATGAGAGAAAGGGAAAAACATTTATTGAAATTTTGTAATTTTCCAAGTAGGGGATGATGCTGGCCTGATTTGAAATATTAACAGCATGAAGAAACAGGAATAAATCAGAAGTGTCTTTCTGATTTTGTGGGACATATTGCCCAATTAAATAGGAAAAATAAAGAAGAAGCGAAGAAAGGGATGATGTCAAGATTTTGATCTTGAACAGTTAGGTGGAAATTGACATCATTAATCAAGAAGAATCAGATTTGGACAGATTGAGTTTGAGATGCCAAAGGGAAGTCAAATACTGACACCCAGTAGAGAGTGGGAAATATCAATCTGTTAGAAAATTTTATTTGCAGTCTTTATAACTTAATTCCTGAAATGTTTAGAAAGCTTGACAAGTATTCAGAGAGTGAAAAACATAATCTATGTCCTCTTGGAGCTTCTAGTTCTAGAACAAGTGTAGCAAAAAGAAAATAGTGTCAAACATGGTAGATATCAATCCATCTATATCAATATTCACTTTAAACATGAATGGTCTAAATATATCAATTAAAAGGCAGGGATTATAAGATTGGTTTAAAAAACCCAACTTTATGTTGTCTACAAGAAATCCATTTTAAATATAAAGACACAGGTTAAAAGTAAAAGGGTGCAGAAAGGCATACCATGCTAACATTAATTAAAAGAAAATTATCACAGTTAATTTCACACAAAAATGTCCCCATACACTGCAAAATGTATCCTAAGGGGTAAAATCACCTTTGGCTTAAACCACCAACATCTCCTGCCAGACCAACTTCAATAACTCTTTAATGGGTTCCATTATATTTACTCTTGGCCTCTAAGAGTCCATTCTACACTGCAACCAGAATGATCTTTTCAGATCCAAGTCTCATATCACCCTGCTGCTTAAAATGTTCAAGGACTTCCCCTTATTTTTAGGGCAAAATTCCAAAGTCCAAATTTGCCTTAAACTACCAATACAAATATCAAATCATTATGTTGTATGCCTAAAACGAATATAATGTTGAATGGCAATTATACTTCAATAAAAATAAATACATTTTTTAAAGTTTGGGGTACACTGAAATTCTAGGAAGTATATATGGCAACTAGTCCCCAAAACTTCAAAGAAAGGAAATTAACTGCTCTTATGAAACAGGGAAATGAATTTTGTCATTGCTCTAGAGAGAACAATGTGAGTGAATGGAGGAGCAATGATTTAATGGTAAGCACTGACCAGGGACAGACCATGAGAGAGACCCTGATCACAGGTGTCCAAACAAACCCTAGAGAACAGATCATAGTTTGCAGTCTACCTGTCCCCAGGAATCTTGGCTTTTAGATAATATATTTTTGAGAACTTTCCCCCAGAACTAACAAAAGACTTGGATTTCATGTCTGGATTGACATGTAATAAAAGAAGTTATGTGAAAAGAAGCAGGAAGGAGGCGGCAGACAGTCAGAATATCTCCCATTTTAACCCTGGTTTCCAAGGGACAAGGTCAAAGAAAAGCCTGTTCACATCTGGGTTGAAAAACAAAACAAAACAAAACAAAAATGCCTGAAAACAAACCTTTAGCTTTCTCTCTCTGTCTCTCTCTCTCTCTCTGTCTCTCTCTCTCCACACACACACACACACACACACACACGATTGTCTCTTTTAGAATAAATTTCCAAAACTGAAATTATTGGATAAAAGGTTAAACATATATTTAAGGTGAAATTATTTCTAGCAATCTATACTCCCACTTTTTCAATAGAAAAATTCTAAAGAATAAAGCAGCAACATCCTTAGAAATGACTGTCTTGGATTACAGATTCCAGTTCCTTCCAATTAAAAATCATCTCTCTTATATTCTTTGAAACTACATACACCATGGGTCCTTAATAAATGACTGTGGAATTAAATTCCTAGCACTCTGGTGCTTAAAACTAGCTATTTTTATATGGACTTCCCCCTCTGTATTTCTAAGAAGGCTGCAATATGTCTTGATTTTTTAGATCATAAGTCCCCATCCCCTGACTTATAAATATCTCAAGCCTTCAAAATCATGTTGTGTATTTTACAAGAATCTTGATTGTGTGAAATTTCCAATTCTGTTAAAATCTTGTTTTTTAAAGGATCTTAACATACCTACTCCTAACTAGCATAATAAATTCACTAATGATTAACTAAATTCTTTCAAAACTAAACTTTCTAAAATTCAAGTAAGATTTTGCTTATGTTTAGTTTTTTTAAATGCATAATTGTTTTAAGCCTATATTTCTTTTTTTAACCTACTTTGATCTTCCTTTTTTACTATATGTTATTAAAAATCTAGCCAATATCAAAATTAACCATATGGTTAACAAAAGCAAAAAAAAAAAAAAGGCAAAAAAGAAAGAAAAGAAAAAAAGATTAGAACAATAATTTCAGAATTTGTCAAGGACCCATTTTTTTTTTACTCTGTTGACCCAAGTTAGAAAAAGAAATCGGCAACTCTAAAACAAACAAACAAAAAAGTAACCTGAAATAACTCACTAAATAGCCTTCTAGTTATACTTTATTAATACTAGAATGTTTTTTTTAACCAAAATTATTCTTATATTGCAATTGATCACTTGGCCTAATACATTTGTGGTTGGGTTAGAGTCTGACCATATAATATTTTCAAGGGCATAACAATGCCATCTTTATAATATCCTACAGTTACGTCCTCACAAAGATTTTGTGTATAAGAAGGTTTATTGTGGTATTGTTTACAATACCAAAAGACAGGAAACCACATAAATCTTCAGTGTTAGGGGGGTAGTTAAATAAATTGCAGCCAATAAAAAAAAATGAGATATAACTATATGTGCCAATACACAATTAATTCTAAGATATATTTTAAGTGAATAAGGCAAACTGCAGAACTTTATATATACTGTGTGTTTTGTATGTTTAGAATATTTCTATTGGACTATTCATAATAATAAGGAACTCATAATAATTGCTGCTTCTGGGGAAGGCAGGTGGGATGTGGTTTTGAGATGGAAAAAACTTTTTCACTGAAATGTTTTCATTTTTTACCATGAACATATATTAGTTTTTAGTGAAATGTAGACAATAAAATGGAGGGGAGGAGGAACTTTGGGGCTTTATTTCATGAAAACAATCAAAATCCTATGAATTTTGACTAATGGTAATCAATTCAAATTGCCAATTAGCTGCTAATTTATCTCTAACTCTCTCAGCAGGATTTCGACCTCTCACCAGAGATTACTAAGAGTTTCAATCACATGCCAAGCAATCATTTACTCAGTCATTCACTCACTGAATCATTCCATCCTTCTAACTAGGCCTGTGCCCTGCCAGGCCATCCCAGGGTATTGGTAGGAAACCAGCAGTAAGCAAGGGCAAAGACAGATCCTGACCTCACTGAATTCATGGTCTAGCAGAAAAGACCAATGTTCAATCAAAATAACTGGAGAAATGTGGATGAGCTCTGGGGAACACTTAGAGGGGCTTATACCAATCTAGGGATCAGGGAAGACCCCTAAGGAAGGCACATTTAAGCTGATACCTTTAAAATATGCAGAAGTTAAACAGGTGACCAGGGAGAGAAAGGCTGTTCTAAGAAGAGATAGGCAGATGGTCGTTAGGAAGACACAGCTTGGGGATGAGCGAAAGCTCTGCTTGGAGAGATTGAAAGACGTCTAGAGCAGATGAAATGTCAAAGGAAGGGGCCAGGAGGGGTGCAGCTGCAGAGACCATCAGGGAGCAGGTCTTGGGGACTTGAGCCTTACTCTGATGACAAGGAAAAGCACAGCAAGATTTTAAATGACTGCATTAGTTTCCCAGGACCGCCCTAACCAATTACCACAAATTGAGTGGCTTAAGAAAACAGAAATGTAGTTCTGGAGACCAGAAGTCTGAAATCCAGGCGTCCACAGGGCCATGCTCCCTCTGAATGCTCCAAGGGAGGTTCCATCTGGGCCTCTTCCTAACTTCCAGTGGTTGCCAGCAACCTTTGGTGTTTCTTGGCTGGTAGACAGGTCACTCCAATCTCTGCTTCTGTTATTACATGGCATTCTCCTCTTTGTGTCTCTTTGTGTCTGCATCCCTGTGTTCAAATGCCCATGTCCCTCTTCTTATAAGGACATTGGTCATGTTGGATTTAGAGTCCATCCTGATTCAGAATGACTTTATCTTAACTTGATCACATCTGCAAAGACTCTATTTCCAAATAAGGTCACATTCACAGATTCCATGTGGACATGAGTTTGGGGAGGATCCTATTCAACCCAGAGCAGCAAGAAAATGATAAAAATCTGATTTACATTTTAGAACTATCCTGAAGGTGTTTGGGGAAAGAATAGGGAGTGAGCAAGACTGGGAAGACAGAGATTAATGTCATATACATCTTTATTATTTTTGAAACATGAGGTTTATTTGGGGGTCCTACTGCATGTCAGACATTGAGCTAAGAGCTGTTTCCATATCTCATTCAGTCCTCACAGAGCCCTGTGAAGGAAGTCAGAGAGGGGACTTTACCTGTCCATGGTCACACAGCAGAGCTTCAGATCCAGATTCTGCAGACTCTGGAACCCATAAGCTTTTCATCACCCCAGGCTCAAACCTGAAGACAAAATGAAGGCAATGAGAATCCTTTGACAGGGACTTCTAGGAGGAAGAAACTGTTGGCCCACCAACACGGTTCTGTTTGCAAGCACACTTCATATTCCTTATGCAAAGCCAGGGCAAAAGGTGAACAGCTAACATGTCCTGAAGAGCACTCATGTTGTAACGCAAAGGAATCTGACGGTTCCAATCACGCAGCGCCGTGTCCAGTGATTCAGCACTAGGTCAGAAATGTTCTTTTAGGAAAAGACCTAAGTAAAATTCGTGCTTCACAAACACGAGACCATATTAAAATAAGCCTGCTTTTTATAAGATGAAGAAACTTGAAGCCATTATCTGAAAACTCAGAGGACAGAAATGAATTCAGAGGAAAAAGAGGTTAATTGGTGGGAATTGTTCAGACTGATAGCTGATATTGATCAGAAATACTGACGGCTGGATCCTCTCCCTCTTCCTGGCTTTGCCGCCATAGCCCACAATTTTAAAGGTGGATTGAAATTTTAAGAGACAATGAAGACCAAGGTTATTCTGGCTTGAGCTCAGTATTCTTCCGAGGGGCTGGCGGGCATTGGGGGCGGAGGGGGGAGCGGTGATGAGTATTCTGGGTGTAGGTTACAGCTTTCATCACCTATCACAATTTTGTAATCTCAAAATCTGACCAGAGCACCTAACTTTCAATTTTCTCATTTTGTTCCATGTCTTTTCCCTGCAATATTAAAAGGGAAAAGGAGGGAGGGCCGTGGGGAGGGGGGAAAGAAAGGAAAAAAACAGAAAGAAGAAAGTAAATATGAATTCCAAAAAGGAGAGGAAAACAATGGTCCAATGGACTATTCTGAGATTTATTGTTGGTTAAAAAAATAATAAAAACAAAAACTTTAAATCAAGCTTATTTTTAAAAAATTGGTCCCTAAAAATAAAGAATAAATGTGTTCAAAAGCAATTAATAAGCAATTTTTATCTAGGAAGTGAGCGATTTCTGTGCAGAGGGGGGAAAAAGGCTCCAGGCTTTGCCTCATCTCCTAGAAGCATCCCATATTCTTAGATGTGACGTTGCCTTGGTAACCACAACTTGGTGACCTCGTTATTTCAACCTAATCCTGCTTTGAAATTATAGTTGCTCCACCCTTTTGCCTGGCTAGCCTGATAACATAATCATTGTAAATGAGGATGGGAAAAAAACAGCAGGATACAGTCCCTCTGGTGACACAGGACCAGTCTCACCTTATCATGGAAATAGACGAACAATTAAACGGCATGAATCTAAAACCCTAAAAGTGGATTTTCTTATTTTTTATATGGTCTGTTATGCTTATTTTCAAAACCTACTGGTTGATTCAATGGAGCAGGGTATCTTGATATTACTATATGAAAATGGAAATTTCCTACTTGTGTTAAAAGAAAAAAATTAAGGACAGCTAAACTGTCAAAGGTGAAGTTCTTAATTATGCATTTGTTTTGCCCAACAGCCAAGTAGAAACAGGAATCAATGTAATTCTGTAACAAATAGAATGGCAGCACCCAGGTTTGTTCACCCAGCCTAACTTCCAATGGTTAAAGCCCCACAATCAGTTGTCCTCTTGAATTCAGATTCCCTTTAAAACAAAGGGGTCTTAGGAGGCTACCTTGCTTAAATTCTGCATGCAGCAAGTGTAAATATAGTTTAAAGGAAATGTAATTAACTCATTTGTTTCAGTTTGGCGCTTTGAGATCTCTGTTCTGCTGGAAAGGAGCTGCAAATTCCATTCTCTTTCTCATTCATTAACTCCCTGTTTTATTCTTTGCATTCCAAAATGGCTAGAGTACAGAAGCACTGGGTTCAGATCTCAATAAAAGATTCATGCTGCATGCAGTTCATATATTGAGGGGAGCTGTGCGACCTTATGTCTTAGGCTCCTAAGTCTCCCTAAACTTCCCTCCAGGAGAATCTCCCTGAGTGCCCCCAGCTTGACTGCTGTCTTTCCAAAGAGATCCTCATTATGGTACTTGGGGGAGTGAGGAGAGTTGTGTGACTTGGATATTGCATTCCGCCACAATTCTCTTGGTGGCAATGATCCCACTTTCTCTGTCTCTCCACTTTGTGTTTCCCAAAGAACACTTTAATACCAGTGAATGTGCTGTCGGTCTCACTGTTGGGTGTCAGTGATGGCTCACAGGTGAGGGGCACGTTGCCGGTCAGGGCCATTATTCAGAAGCCTGGGCTACATCTGGGTATGCCCAGGGCATAACGCTTTCCACGTTGGTATCCCTCCTTTCTGCAAAAAGATAGCCACTACCACCACTTATTTCTTACAACTATCACCATTATTGTGATATTTTAACAGCATAAGGAAAGTTGTAGTTTCTTAAAGAAACTATGCCATATAAATTAAAGTTTTACAGTCAGAATGATATTATCAAATCTCTTTAGAGAAGTAAGTTGGAAGAGTCTGCATATGACTTAAAACTATCTTTTCTTTTTCTGAGACATGAATCAGAAGTAGCATTTTTATAAAGTGTGAGTTCAAACTATACTTTGTTGGGGCCACTGGACGCCCATTCTCCTTTTGTTAACTCTAGCCACAAGGATTAAAAATAATAACAATTAATATTTAGGAAGTTCTCACACTGTCAGCCCCATTTTACAGAGAAGAAACAGAGACACCAACAGCTAGGGGACTTGCACAGTATCCCAGAGCCAGCAGTGTAAGTGGCAGAGCCAAGTTCAGGTGTTCTCAGCTACTCTGCTATTCTGCCTCAATGGAACCTAACTGTAGAACCAGAACCAAGGAATGCACTCCATGGGTAGACACATCAAAACTCCCTAAGAAGAAATTTCTAAATAGTTCAAGCTGTCCAAAAACAAAATAGGCAGTCTCGACAACAAAGGAAACTTAAAATTTAAAATCTACAACCAAATATCCTTGGCCTCTCAGAACAGATCCAAGTGTAAATATTACATCCTTCTGCTCTCTAAGTATTCATCATATGGGGTACTTTTGGCCTGCTTGGATGGTGGGAAATTCTTAAATGAGAGAGAGAGAAAAAGAGAAATTCATTGGCAGATCAAGCATCTGTGCACGAATAAGCAAAGAAGAGGACTAAAATTATGAAAATCAAGGTAAAATGAGGGTAAGGGACTGATAATAGACAAGTTTTAGATCTAGACTGAGAATTGAGAGAAATTAGCCAGTTACCATGATGCTTAAAGATGATAGGTCCTGAAAAAGTAGAAAGATAGGAGGTGCCTAATGGCTCAGTCAGTTAAGCGTCCAACTCTTGATCTCAGCTCAGGTCTTGACTCTCAGACTCGTGAGTTCAAGCCCCACGTTGGGCTCCATGCTGGGCATGCTGGGTAGCTCAGCAGTTGAGAGTCTGCCTTTGGCTCAGGGAGCGATCCTGGGCCCAGGGATCGAGTCCTATATCAGGCTCCCTGTAGGATCCTGCTTCTCCCTCTATCTATGTTGCTGCCTCTCTCTCTGTGTCTCTCATGAATAAATAAATAAAATCTTAAAAAAAAAAAAGAAAGAAAGAAAGAAAAGGATGACAGCAATGGCTAGGGTAGAGAAGGCAATCTATGAAGAGAAGATACAGCATTGGCAGGGCCTGGAAAGTGAGGATCCTGGTTCATTTCTCACAGCTCTTCCTTCCACTCTGTACCCAGTGGACTTGTGAATAACCAAATCATCACACCTGTCCCACATCTCCTTCCCTCTACCTGGAAACCCCTTCATCTCCTCCATCTCTCATCTCTTCCTTCCTCCTTCAGCTTAGCTATCTCTTATCTGTGCTTTGGGTCTCTTCTCAATTGTTACTTCCTGTAGAAACCCTTTTTGGACTCTCCCCATTCCACACACACTAAGTCTTTATTTTCCTTTTCTTCTCCAAATATCCTGTCCTTTCTCTACCCCTATATTGTCATTGTCCTTGCCCTGTCTTCCCTACCACCACCATCATGCCATAAACCTGTAAACCCTGTGAAAGTAAGAACCATGATGTTTATACAGAGCCTGGCACACTTAGTAGACACTCCAAAAATTCATTCATTCATTTATTTACTCAACAAGTATTTAGTGAATATACATTCAATGGCAGACCATGGGGTAGAACAGTCAACAAAACAGATAAGTTCCTCACCTTCATTCTTGGAGGAGGAAAGCTTTTTTTTCATCAAGTAAATAAAAACAAACAAGATGGTTATAGATAATTATAAACAGGGCAGCCCTGGTGGCTCAGTGGGTTTGGCGCCACCTTCAGTCCGGGGTGTGATCCCGGAGACCCGGGATCGAGTCCCACATCAGGCTCCCTGCATGGAGCCTGCTTCTCCCTCTGCCTGTGTCTCTGCATCTCTCTCTGTGTGTGTCTCTATGAATAAATAAATAAAATGTTAAAAAAAAAGATAATTATAAACAGTATGAAAAATTAACAGAATGATGACATAAAAGAGGAAAATCTTCTGTTAGACCTACTTCATTGGATCCTTGGAGAATCTATCACCTGCAACCTGAAGCCATGTTCCTTTTTCCATGGGGCATCCACTGAGGGCTTACTAAGGCATCAGACAGAGGGGCCCTCAGGGAGATTTCAGGTCAATGAAGGGAACTAACAAGTAAACCAGGATCCAGTCACGGTTACTAGGGCAGTGACAAAAATATTTACATGGGGCCATGAAATAATCGAGATTAAGTACATTGAAGATTGGGGGAAAGTACTCTGGGTCTGGAAGGGCTTCTGGTGAAGATGGCATTGAACCTGGTGATTCGGAGCACTGAGATTCCTGAGACCAAACTGCCTATTTTTTAATCCACCCGTACCACACATCCAAGCTGTGTGACTTGGATGAGTCACTTAATCTCTCTGTGCCTCAGTTTCCTCATCTGTAAAATGAGGGTAATGGCAATACCTTAGAGTATCATTGTGAGAATGAAATCAGTTAGTATATGTAAACTATTTAGAACAGGATAAGCACATGTGTTGACCACTATTACCATTTTCCAGGACGTAAGAGTTAGCTCAATGAAGAAGAAGATGTCAAGAAAGCATTCCAGGAAGAATGAAAGAATGACTCTAGGATGCCAAGTCAGTGATCAACAGGCTCTGCCTCTGTCCCTGAGTGATCATGAGGGAGAATTCACTGGGCCTAGAATATGGGTTAAGTACAGACCCAGGAGAAACAGAGGAAGTGGTTTCTGTCCTTGAAGACATTATATTCAACAAGACTAAACACAAAAGCAAAAAATTAAGAAGGAGCCAAGATAACATATAACCAGTGATAACTAACAAGAAAAAATGTCAATCATATATCTGTGTGTTTATAATATTCCAGGCACTGGGCTAATAAACACTTCACATGCTATTCTTGCTCAAATTCAGCTTACAAACATAGGTCACATGACAAAAGCTCCGGGAGATTTAAAGAAAGAAGAGATGTACCAAAAGGCCTCGTGAGGACAATAAAGCTTGAGTCAGGCATTGAACAAAGGAAAGAGTATGAATAGAGAGATGGAGGAATTAGAAACTAGGTCAGGCAGTCTGATGGAAATAAAACAGGTGCCACAAATATGAGCCACATGTATAATTTTTAATTTTTTAACAGCCACATCTTTTTAAAAATTTTTATTTATTTATTTGTTTCTTTCTTTCTTTATTTTATTTATTTATTTGAGAGAGAGTGAGGGGGGAGCAGAGGGAAAGAACTTCAGGCAGACTCCACACTGAGTGCAGAGCCCAACGTGGGACTTGATCTCAGCACCCAGAGATCATGACGGGAGCTGAAACCTAGAGTCTTACACTTTTTGGACTGAGCCACCCAGCTGCCCCCAACCACATCTTTTAAAAGTAAGAAGAAACAGGTGAAATTAACTTTAAAGAGTATTTAACATTTATTAAATTATTATTTCAACATGTAATCAGTATAAGAAATTACTCACAAACTATTTTAAATTCTCTTTTCTTAGAAGTCTTTTAGGGCAGCCCCGGTGGCGCAGCGGTTTGGCGCCGCCTGCAGCCTGGGGTGTGATCCTGGAGACCTGGAATCGAGTCCTACGTCGGGCCTGCTTCTCCCTCTGCCTGTGTCTCTTCCACCCTCTCTCTGTCTATGAACAAATAAATAAAATCTTTAAAAAAAAAAAAAAAGAAAGAAAAGTCTTTTAAATCTTTACACTTACAGTACTTACCATATGTAAGTAATCATATTGCACATGCTCAGGAGCCACATGTGGCCGATGGCTACCATCTTGGACAGCCCAGTCAGGAGGGAAAAAAGAGCTGCCCTTGACTGAAGTTTCATCAGGCTTCAATCACTTTTTATACACTATTTAACTTTCCCTGCCACCTTCTTGGGAAATGCTATCATTCTCCCCATTTTACAGATGAGGACACTGAGACTCTAAAGAGATTAAGTCAACAGCTCAATAAATGGGATGACCTAGGATTTCAACCCAGCCCCGACGGATTTGAAGCTTGGGCATATTCCTCACCCTGGAACTGGCTTCAGCAAATGCCACTGGGGGCTTAGTGCTAGGAAACAAGATGATGCTGGAGCAAGGAGAAACCACCAAGTCCGGGGGGGGGGGGGGGGGGGGAGAGAAGTGGATAGACTGGCGGGGGGGAGTCTAATTCTGAGCAGCTTCCTCTCCAACCCCCAAAGCCCACACAGCCCTTCTGCGTGCTCCCGGATTTGGAGGAGGGGAGGCAAGCAAGCAAGCAAGCAAACAAACCTTTCCCTTTCCTGTTAAGCAGCACTTGAAGCTCTAGCCCAGCTCCAGAGCAGCGAAGCCACAAGACTTGTATGCAGGAGGCAAGGAAGGGCACCTGTGGTACATAAATATTTAACTTTTGTTGCAGGGAAGTGCAGGATGAGGAAACACTTGGCTGCTTCTCAGCCAGGGGAGCCGGGCTCCCTTACACCCTTTGTGGGCTCCACTTTGTCGTCAATTACTTTTCTAAAACTATTAAGAGAGGAAAGGGGGAAAGTATAAACAGAATTAACAGTAATTTATGATCTGAAAAAAGACAGCAGGAGTTCGAAATCTGTCTCCATTAGGATACTTTCCCGGCGCTCCCCTGGACCCCCAAGCCACGGGATCCTGTAGGAAAAGGATGTTTATACAGCATTCCTGGCAGGAGAGACGCTTTTCCTTGCGCCCAGAGGGCAAGGTTCAGCCAACTTTCCACAGAGGGGTCTGGCTTGTGCTGAGCCTGCTGCCAGGACCCAATCCCGGGTGTGGGCAGACACTGAGCTTTTTAGATTTTTGTTTTATTTTACTTGTTTCTTTTTCAGTGGTCCCTTCTGGATTTCTACAGGGACCTCCAAGCCTGCTCCTCCTCCACCTCAAACATCAGCAAAGCCCACCAGGAGAATTGCCAAAAGAGACAATCGTCAGTTCCTCAGTGAGAATGTTTCCCTGCTTCTGCCTCGGATAACTCCAGAATTTTCGAGACAAAGGTTTATTCCATCATCTAAGACATATTTTATGCCACGCAGTTTCACTTTGTAGGACTAACTTTTCAAGTCAAGGAATTGCAAAGCCTCAATATCTAGCAGCTTGGATTATCGTCCAAAAAGGGAGCCAGTAGAGCTCCAAAATTACTATTTCTTCCTTTTCTTTGTCTTTTCTTTTGGGGTGGGCATCGGGATGCTGTGACCCAACTGGGAATACTGTCTCTGGCACATGCCTGTGGTCCACTCAATATTAATGACACAATCAAGTCTTCAGGTGAATTTTGGAGCTAAAGCAAAAGACAAAAAGAAAATCTCGTAAACCACCCTCAGAATCTGTTAGCTGAAGCTCCACACACTTTAGGCCTTAACCAGCCAGTCCCTTAGATCGCTGGCGACCCCAAGTGGCCAACTTATAATAACAGTTTTTTGGATTTTGTTGGGTTTGGGTATTTTTCCCCCTATGGAAAAGAAACATACTTCAAGGTTTTTTATTCCCAAATCCTTGTAGAATTTAAAAACTGCAGAGCTGGAAGGACCATTAGTGTTACCTGGCCTAACCATCTCATTTTACAGAAAGCACAGATCCAGAGAGGTATAGAGAGATTCCAAAAGTCACACAGCATGTTAGGGTCAAGGGAGGAAGCAGTTAAAAGTGATGGCTTTAAGAGAGTCTATGCAACCAGATTTTAGCTCCTTAATGGAAAAAAGAGAATTTTTCCCCAAGCCATAAAAGAAATATTGTTATTACAGAAGAATCACCGTAATGAGGCTGCATTGTTAACAGATCTGAAGTTTCCTTAGGCACACACTTCTTTTTCCTTCTTCTCTTCCTAGACTGACCAGGGTGTATTAAATTGAATCACACAGCAAGTGTGAGACCAGCATGGGGGAGAGGGGAGATGTCAGCATTTGGCAGATGTGGGTTAGATGCTTATTCCCAAAGCCTGGGCCATGAGTTTGGTTCCCACCTACATGAGCACTGTAGAGGGGGCATTATCATTCTCATTTCAGAAATGAGAAAACCAAAGCTCAGGGAAATTAATTAACTTGCCCAAAATCCGTCAGCTACAAAATTGCAAAAGCAACTTTCTCCATCACTTTAATCTATGTGTGCCTCCGTCCACCAAATGGGATGATAAAATCTGCCTATAGAATCAGAAAATGCTGATATTAAAGAGTCCATAGAAGAGCCTGCTTTTGAACAAAATGAACCCTCTCCCTCTCTAGAGAAAACTAACAAAAATATCTATGAGAAAGTCAATCAAAGAGAACATGGGTGCTGTTGTAAGGAACATCAGGAAATCCCATTCTCCTTAAAACAAAAAACTAGGATCTCCAAGGTTTTGCTTCAGGTCAAATTTCTGTTCTTCCCCACCATGTGACGCCTTTCCCTTGAGGTGCCTCACTTAGTCTCCTCCTGTCATCAGGCAGCTGAACCCCTGGCAGGACACTGCCCTCCTCTTGGCAGCTCTGTCCCAGCCATGGACAGAATTCCCTTTGCTATCAGCTCTGAGCACCATGGAGATGATCTGGAATTTCCCCAGTGCTGTTCCTAAAATTACTGCGAAGGAATAGAAGGTAAAGTAACACAGAGAGTGGGAGAAGCCTAAAATCAGTATGATTTACAGAACATGAAATTCGGACCCAAATCTTACAGACGGGGTTCTCTCTAGAGTTAGCAAATCCTGCTCTGTTCCAGTCAGGATCTCAGTTTTAAAACACTCAGTGTAAATTATTCCAGCCCTCCACAAAAGCAATGTGGCAACATGCTGCAAGGCCTGGGAAAGATTCCTACCCTTTGGCCCAGGAATTCCTCTTCTAGCAATCCACCTGAATGAAATAATGAAACTGTGCAGGAAGGAATATATACACAAAGATGATCATCACTAACTTATGTTCAATTACCAAAAAAAAAAAAGGGAAGCAAATTATACAATAGGATTTATGATGTAACCAGAAGATGGAAAATTATGTAACCATTAAAAAATGATGTTTTCAAAGCATTTTTAATGACACTAAATGTAAAAAGCATTTGAAATAGCATTAAGTGAAAAAAAGCAGAGTGCAAAAGAAGTGCACCAATGTGCACAAGTATGATCAAATACTTAAAACCAAAAAAAGAGAAATGTGAGTGTATAAGGACAAAAAAAAGAAGAAATCTTCACCCATCAGTATGTTCACAGTAGTTATGACTAAGTGGTGAGATTAATGTTGATTTCTTTACTACTTACATTTTGCTTTAGTTTTACAGTGAGGCCGTATTAATGTATAATCTGAAAATTATATATATATATATATATTTAAGATATTGACTCTGTAGCCCAAAAAAGCTGATGGATTTTCTCAGGTTACACCCTCCTGACTTCCACTCTGTCCCCACCGTGTTCCTCCATCTTGGTGCCTTCTCTTCCACCTGCCTCACTTCTGCCTTCCTTTTATTTTTAATTCTCTATTGAAATTCAATTTAGTTAACATATTTTTTTTTTATTAGTTACAGGAGTAGAATTTAGTGATTCATCAGTTGCATATAACACCCAGTGCTCACTACATCAAGTGACAACATGCTTCAAGGTCTGGGAAAGATTCCTACTCTTTGGCCCAAGAATTCCTTTTGCTATCAGCTCTGAGCACCATGGAGACAGTAGTCTCCTTAATCCTTAATGCCCATCACTCAATTACCCCATCCCCCACCGACCTCACTTCCAGCAACGTTCAGTTTGTTTCCTAGAGTTGAGTGTTTCTTATGGTTTGTCTTCCTCTCTATTTTCATCTTATTTCATTTTTCCATTTCTTCCCCTGTATTCATGTTTTGTTTCTTAAGTTCCACATATGCATGAAATCATATTGTATTTGTCTTTCTCTGACTAACTTATTTCACTTAGCATAATACCTTTTAGTCCCATCCATGTCATTGCAAATGGCAAGATTTCACTCTTTTTGATGGCTGAGTGATATTCCATTGTATATATCATACACAAAAATAAACTCAAAGTGGATGAAAGACCTAAATGTGAGACAGGAATTCATCAAAATCCTAGAGAAGAAGATAGGCAGCAACCTCTTTGACCTTGGCTGTAGCAACTTCTTGCTAGGCAAGTCTCCAAAGGCAAGAGAAACCTCTGCCCTCCTTTCTGCTTATATATCCAAGATCCACATTCATGACCTAGCCAATGATTAACTCATCAAGAGGTCCCTCAGAGTCACATTTGTCAAGGTGCTTGATCCTTTTCAATTCCTTCCTATTAAATAGGGCAGTGAAACCCATATTCCCTGCTCATCTTAGAGTGCTTTATTTCCTTCCTCCTAGTTGAAAGGCAGGATCTATGTAAATTTGGAATTTATTCAACTGATATTTATTGAGCGTCCACTATGTGCCAGGCCCTGTTCTAGTAAGATACAAGAGATAAGGTCTTACTCTGAAGGGGCTAGACAGATAATAAATAATCCTACAAATGAGAAGACTGTCAACTCTGATAATGCCATGCTACAAGCATGTGGGCAGCCTCCTGAAATCATTATTCTTCAAACCTGTGATGGCAAAGGCATGGAACAAAATCCAGGATGCATTTTAATGCCAAGACGTTTGGAAAAAACCAACTTCTCCAGGGCTCATGCATTGCCAGTGAATGTTAGAATTGGCCAAGAATTCTCAGAAAGAGAGATGCAGGAGACTTCGAAAGGCAGATGTGTGCACACTGGGCAGTGCCAGCTGACTTCCACTTCCCAGTAATATTCCCTCCATCCCTGGCAAGTGATATGGATTAGGAGAGAGAGAACTCAAAGAGAATTGTGAAGGGATTTTTGAGACTTCAATGTCTCTGCCAAAAAAGGAGACTCCTACTGATGAGCTGTAGGCAGCATGTTGCTTACTTCTCATGTGCATTGTTGTTGCTTACCAAAAGAATGATAAAATCTTTAAAATCACTAGTAGCCATAATGGTTTATCTTTCTTGAGTTTTATCAGTGAATATCTCGGAGTCTAAGGTCCTGGGAACACATCACACGTACAACAGATTTAAGAAAACTGAAAGAGGGTACAATGAGAATCCAAAGAGGAGATGGAACCTCAAATTCATTTCTGCTTTCCCAACATCTCACTGCAACACACATAGACACACACACACATGCACACACACAAACACGCTCACATTCACACCCATCCCCCTTCCCAGATCATCTATGATCATCTAATGATGCCCTGTGAGCATCCATTCAGAACATTTTCTAACTTTTCTGCAACTTACATAACACCTTTTTCTGGACATAAATAGGGATTTCAACTGGGATGAAAGCTGTCACTCAATCTCCAAAAAACTCATCAATCACCAAACAA